CGTTTTGGAAAGGTGCTCCGATGTGATAAGCTGAAGGACGGTGGGATCGAGGTCGAGTTTCAGAATGGAGAGGACGCGAAACGGGCAATAACTTCGGATAGGTTTGTGTACTGCGTGCGGGATGCGGAAGGGAAAAAGGACGTGTCAGTGGCGATGACCGTTGAGGTTCACAGGACAAGGAACTCTTCAAAGGGTATCATCAACTGCTTTGACTTGAAAGATGTCAGTGAGGAGGAAATAGTCGACGGCCTTGCCGAATTCGGGGTTACAGATGCTCGCCGCATCAAGGTGCGCAGGGGTGCGGAGTTGGTCCCCACCAACAACATCGTACTGACTTTTAATCGTCCTGACCTACCATCTGAAGGAAGGGTAGGCTATGTGAAGGTGAAGGTGCGCCTTTTTATTCCGAACCCCATGAGATGTTTTAAGTGCCAGATGTTTGGACATGCGAGGGATTTCTGCCGTAACCAGCCAGCATGTGGTAAGTGTGCTTCTCCGGAGCACCCGAGTGATCAGTGCACTGCGGCGAGCCCATGGTGTGTTAACTGTGGGAAAAACCAAAAACCTCATTCTACTTTCGATCGTTCATGTCCGGCGTACGCCAGAGAGAAGGAGATTATTGCATTGAAAACAACGAAGAACATATCATTTCGTGAAGCGAGGGATTTTTATGAACTGAGCCACCCTAAGAAGTCATATGCCACAGCATGCAAAGCTCCTGTCGCACCTGAAGCGTCCTTAGATCATATGACTGGAACCCAACTCATTGAACTTCTTAAATCGTTCGGGCTGTCGGTTGTACCGGCGTCCCAGGTGCACACCACCGTATCGGCAACGTCATCGTCCCCCGTGCCGTTGGCACCCCGCGCCCCTTCTGAGGCAGAGGCCGGCTCGCCAGTTGTTGCCTCGCCGTCTCACCCCTCCCCGGTGCCGGAGAGCCCGGTGCCCGCCGTGGTGCCAGCCTCCGCGGCATCATCTGACGCGCCGGCAGAGGGAGAGGGGTGGACGGTCGTTCAGCGTGGCCGAGGCCTGCGGACTTCGCCGGCCTCACCATCCAGCACCCAGCTGCCGTCGTCTCCAGTGACACCCGTTGCGAGCACTTCTGGAAGAGCGCTTGAAACACTAGAGCGCCACGAGGCAGACAGGCGCGCCCGTGAGGCTAAAAGGGCGCGTCTGGTTGAGCAGGAGCGGGCCAAAGCAGCCAACAGGCTGTCAGGAGCGGGCAAGGAGCCTGCTCCCCGGAGCAATACTCCCTCACCACGTAGACCGGTTGAGGCTTCACCACGGCACCAGGTGGTGGGCAGGGGCTCAGTGATGGCCCCTCCTCCGCCACCACCACGTACGGGATATGCTGGCTCCAAGCGTGTCCCGTCTGGGCCCTTGTCCCCAAGTGACGGGGGTAGCCCAAGGTCCCGCCCCAGGCTGGGGCACCGATCTGTGGAACTGGGTTCCAGAACTGAGATATCTGGCGCTTCATCTGGAGCGGCGCAGTTCTTTTAAATCTCACTTTTAAGAGTGAGATATTCCATCTTCTTTTAACACGTCCTTTTACAGACGTTTTTACATTGGAACTGCTGTTCTTTTGAACCGTGTCGCGTCTTAAAGTGTGACTTTGACCCTTTTTTAGTACGCCCTCTTGCAGGCGTATTGACTGTGATATTCTGCGTGCTGTGCTGGTGAGCTAGGTGTGTAATGGCTACCCTCACTTAGTTTTATGACGAGTATCTTACAGTGGAACTGCAGGGGCGTGAGAACTAGTCTAAACGATCTCAGAGTCATTCTGAATCAGCGCCGTCCGGCCATCGCCTGCCTGCAGGAGACCAAACTGGCACCTGGCTCTCATATTAGTATCCCGAGCTACACCGTAATGCGTCGGGATATGCCAGCTGATCCAGTTGCACACGGCGGAGTTCTTTTGGCTGTGCACCACAGTGCCTCCGTCCAACGCGTGGTCTTACACTCGGACCTGCAAGCTGTTGCAGCTAAGGTACATTTTGGGCGTCGTGCAATAACCGTCTGTTCGCTTTACTTACCTCCTGGTGCTCCATTTCCGACGGCAGAAATTAGATTTCTGGTGACCGAGCTTCCCCCGCCCCTTCTTTTGCCGGGTGACTTTAATGCTCACCACACATCTTGGGGTTGCGCCCAGCCCAACACTCGCGGCAGGCATTGCGAAACTTTTTTACATGATGAATCTCTCTGTATTTTAAACACCGGGACCCGAACCCACATGACGCTGTCAGGTCAGACATCGGCGCTGGACTTGAGTTTTTCAAGCCTCCAACTGGCGGCACACCTGACATGGTCGGTTGACAACGAATCCTTTAGTAGTGATCACTACCCCATCTAGTTGCGTTACCAGAACGGAGCAGCTCTCGGTTCCAGGCCACAACGGTGGAATCTTAGAGAGGCTGACTGGGATAAATTTCAGGCACTGGTGGAAACCAGGTTGGCTTCCGGTTCGGTGGATATGCGTGCGTCGATAGAGGAACTTACCTCCACAATCTTGCGATCGGCACAAGAAAGCATACCACGTACATCCGGTGCCCCACGTCGTCCCCCTGTTCCGGGGTGGACGGATCAGTGCCGCGACGCTATACGTGCGCGGAAAAAAGCCCTGCGAGACTTTGATCGACGCAGCACTACGGACAACCTAATCGCTTTTCGACGAGCTCGGGCGGCAGCTCGATGCACTATCTTGGAGGCCAAGCGCACGTCTTGGCGGTTATATGTTGGACAGCTTAATTGCCAAACGCCGGTTTCAGCGGTTTGGGCGCGGGTGAAGCGTATAGCAGGCCAACACTCGTCAGTGCCGCTCCCCGTGCTCTGTATGAATGGCCAGGACATACTGGACCCATCTAAGGTGGCAAATGAAATGGCTCGTGCGTTCGCGGAGCGTTGTGGGCGAACAACTGCCGCTCCTGATTTCATACGCCATCGTGCTCGTTGCGAACCAGCCCAGATAAGCTTTCATACATCCTAAGAGTTTTCATACAACAAACCTTTTACAATGCTTGAACTGATGTCTGCCATTAACTCTCTGCGCAGCGTGGCGGAAGGCCCAGATCTCATTCATAATGATATGCTCCGGCGACTTCCACCAACAGCAACACAAGCTATGCTGCGGGCATTCAATCAGTTGTGGGAAACAGGAGAGTTCCCCACGTCTTGGCGGGAGTCGTTAATAGTTCCGCTGCTGAAGCCTGGTAAGAATGGGGAGGATCCATCTGACTACCGTCCGATTGCGCTGACCTCCTCTATGTGCAAACTTCTGGAGCGGATGGTTCAGACACGATTGTCTTGGTTCTTAGAAAGCAACGATATCTTCTCGAACGCGCAGTGTGGTTTCAGGAAAAACCGTAGCACCATTGATCATCTTTTAGCCTTGGACTCAACTGTGCGCATTTCTTTTAAGGAAAGGCGACACGTAGGTGCTGTGTTCTTCGACATGGAAAGGGCTTGTGACACCACCTAACGATGTGGCATCTTACGGAAGCTGTTCCAGTATGGCATACGCGGAGCTATGGGTACCTTTCTTGCGAACTTTCTTGCTGACAGTTTCTTCCGCGTTCGTGTTGGTTCCATGTGCTCGAGAAGATATACCCAAGAGAACGGCATACCCCAGGGCAGTGTTCCAAGTGTTGCGTTGTTTGCTGTCACGATAAATGATGTCGAGACAGTTTTCCCCAAGCGATTGGTCGCTCGCTTTTTGTTGATGACCTCGCCATCTGGTGCAGCTCTGCCACGGCAGCGTCCATGTCGCGTCAGTTGCAGTTGGCTGTGGCACGCTTAGAAAGATGGAGCATGCTCAACGGGTTACGGTTTTCGACCTCGAAGACAGTTCCCGTCCACTTTTGCCGACGCCGGCGTCAGTGTCCCGACATGGTGCTTAATGGACAGTCGATCCCCTGCAATGCGGCGGCACGGTTTTTGGGATTACATTTTGATAAGCGTTTCGCCTACAAGGAGCATCTTATCATTCTGCGTGACTAGTGTTTTAAGACGCTGAACATATTGAAAGGTGTGGCACGAACATTCTACGGAGCAGATCGGAAAACACTTTTATTGTTATACCGTTCACTGATACGTTCCAAGCTGGACTATGCGTGTTTTGCATATGATGGTGCCTCTGAGTCTGTAAAACGTCCATTAAATGCGGTCCATCATGCTGCGTTGAGAATCATTACTGGTGCATTTCGTACGTCTCCGACAGCCAGCTTGCTTGTGGAAGCCAACGAACCTTTGCTGGCTACCCGAAGACAGTTGTTGGGGATGCGATACGCTTGTAAGCTCGCGCAATTCCCGAACCACCTAACACATGACGCTGTGTTCTCACGCCACATATCCAATGTTTTTAGTCCGAACAAACAGCACGTGTGGCGCCGTTCTGTGTGCGTGTTCGTAATGTTCTTCTTGAGAGTGGCTTAAGTTTTCGGGGTGTGGCACGCCCACGTAGCCTGCCGACCGCTCCGTGGGTGATGGTATCGCCAACTGTCGACGTCTCATTGTCGGAGGTTCAGAAGCAAAATATGATCCCGTACGTTGCCAGATCAACAGCTTTGAAGCATATCGAAACATATCGGGGGTTTACAATTCGTACACAGACGGCTCGAAAACGGATACGGGTGTTGGTTCCGCTTTTGTGTGTGGTCCCCATGCGCGATCATTTACACTGCCAGCCCATGCGTCCGTGTATACTGCAGAGCTTGTGGCCATCATTAAGGCGCTCTGCTTTACAGAGGTGGGCGAAGACAGTCTGCACGTGATTTTATCGGATTCCCTAAGTGCCCTTTCGGCACTAAGGCATTTTAATCCGGTAAATCCCCTTATACAGGATGTTTTACTGCGTCTCGACCCTCTGTACCGGGCTGGCAAGACTATAGTACTTTTGCTGGATTCCGAGCCACGTTGGCATTGCGGGAAATGAGCTGGCTGACTCTGCTGCAAAGCGTGCTACTCGTCGTCCCTGTCGCAGAACGTTTCCGATACCCGCTACAGACCTGTACTCGCCCATCTCTGCCTTTTTGCGCGGGGAATGGCAGAGCACATGGGATGCGATGGACACCACTAAAATGAAAAACATCAAGCCAGTTGTTCAGGAATGGCAGTCATCCTATCGAAAGTCTAGACGGGAGGAAGTAATCCTGTGTCGGTTGCGGATTGGCCATACCAATGCTACACATCGATACCTACTATGTCACGACGAACTACCACGATGTCGCCACTGCAACACCACGCTCACAGTGGAGCATGTGCTCATATGTTGTCCCATACTACGCGTCGAGCGTCTGAGGTTCTTGGGCCCGGTGGCGCCGTACCTGACGCTCTCCGATTTACTAGGTGACAGCTCACCACATATCCAACATACCCCCAAGTTCGTATCGCATGTTAAGTTCTGCACTTTATATACACCTGCCTGAATAGTTCATACCGCGTGTAGGAAGTTTTTAGGTTGCCGAAAGCTTCGTATCAACGACGCGTTCCTCACACAAATCAGCCATTTTCATTTCCGAATAATATATATTTTTTAGTCATTTACCGTCGTAGGTAGCCATTTTGCTGTCTCGGGCGCAAAATGACCACAATAGTCGGCGCGCCCTAAAGCCCCAATCAACAACAACAGGATGGGCATCGGAGGCATCGCGGCTGCTTGCTGGTAGGCGGCCTCCACGTCGTCCGTATGCGCTGCCGCTTCCACCACAGCTGGATCTTGGATCTGCGACACAAGGAAAGGGTCATTTCCGCGTACCTATCAGGCGCATTAATCAGACCCTTTTGCATATCACCAGTTTTGTTTTTCATTACGAGAGCAAAACGTCTTGGACCCGGACATGCTCATTCTTTCGTTATCACATGCTTGTTTTTATTCACAATCACCTTTTGTGGTCCAGCGTGACATAATCCGAGCGGGTGAGAGGGACGGTCAACGGCCGACGAGGACTGCACTGCGTGCACCACTCTGATATCTCCCTCTCCCGGCCATAACCACGGATCTGCCTGGATGGACCCGTTTCATGGTCCCATTTCATTGCATCGGCTGCCCCAGGGGGGTGGCGCCGCCATTACAGTTTTTCGACGGCCCTCCGAGGGCCCTCCGAGGCTCCAACAGCAGGGCCCTCCGAGGCTCCAATCCCCCCCCCCCCTCCCTCCGCCCCCATTCGTCTCTGCCCGTGAGCTTCGAGCCTATGGTTTGGGCACAGGAGCAGTCTTTTTACCACGATTTTAATGTATGTAATCCCGGGGTTTGGTGACCAGGCAAATGACCTGTATTTGAAATGCCAGACACTACTATGAACAGTAACACGAAGAACCCAAAAATGGTTCAAAAGTAGCAAGACTCGTAAAAAGCCGAGTGAACATGTGCGGTACGCGGGTGAAAGAACTGTTTAAGGCAACAGGCCAAACCAATATTAGAATCTCATTGATGCGCTAGGTACTGTACCTATTAACGATTGTGGGGTTTGTTGGTCAGTCCACAGTGCGTAGATGTACTGTCAATGGGGCTGGGACTCGCTCGTGCAAACTTATCACCCCCCCCCCCCCCCCCCCCCCCCACGTCGCAAACCCTGGCTACGTCCCTGGCCCTCACCCCTTTCGCCCGTGTCGCATGGATGGCTGTGCCACTTGTGTGGTAGTCAGGCTCCACTTTGTAAACAAGATTATGGCCGGAAAATCTCGCTTGAACCTCGTATTGTAGTCTACAAACTGCACGGAGCGGCATGGATTATGCAGGCATTAGTGGCTGTGAATCGGGTTCAAAGATTTCTGCATAAAACAGACGGGAATTTCCCTTTTAAGCACACGCATACTCACTTCAGTGTGTTGGCGATGTCCAGTCGCATAGAAGGAATTGCACTTGGTCGAAGGCATGGTTTAACATTGGGTATGAGACTGGCCTTAACCAGATGGCCAGGATCATAGTCATAATCTTGGAAATGACCAGATCAGATTAACGCATTCCCCGCATTTATGGTGTTAGTCCAAGAGCAACGGTTCACTCATGTTTCCAGGACAGTCGGATCGTTTTTTTTTTTGCAAAAGAAAAATGTCTTTACTGTGCCGTTTCACATTCTTGCAAGAGGCCACTTCACAGGAAGGCATCTTGCTGCCAAAAAATTGCCTTTGATGCTCACTTTTGCCCCACGCTCACACATCGCTTCAAAATTCTCCCATCCACAACACAATAGCACGCACTAAGGCAACACAACAGTACAAACTCGATGCCACACTGCACGATAATCGCGATGTTACATTTGATACGTTACATCGGTATTGTACGACCTTGACGATAATAGACAAGACCAACCACAGCATTTCTGCGTGACTACTGCTTTCCACGCGACGCAGTCGACGTTGCCATGCAACGCCTCAGCGCTAGCCATTGCGACTTTGTGACGTCACCTCTTAACGTTGAACAGGCGCCAGCCCGACCAATTTCTCCGGCTGCGATGATGACCCCCTGGGGTTGCGTGAAAACCTTACATTTGGCACACAGCTGCCGATTGTGATGCATTTTGTAAACAAACCAAACTTGATGCGTGCAAACGGCTGAAGTCGCTGTGGTCTTGGGCTTGGGGGGTACCTGGCGCCCTTGCTCTGCGCATACATAAACATGATTCAGGTGTAGGTGAGACAGGACATAGCCATGTCGAGGCCATAGCCATAGCCAGGTGTCGGGGTTCTGTGGAGCCTCGTTATGCTTGATGGTTTCAAGTGAGCTCGGTTTTAAATGGCATCTGAAAACCTCAAAGGGAAATAGGGGTTTGGCATGTGCGATTAGACAATGTCAGGCAGGAGTGGAAAAATCACATAAAATATGGGGAAAAGGAGTGAAAAATTCATCCTCATAGGGTGTTGCTTTACACGCAAAGTCGGCAGTTCTAGGGCACTGCGAAGAAGACGACCAAAGCCACCTACGGGGCTCCGATATCCAAAAACAATAGGAGGCTCCTAGTTCGCAACGGGAGCCTCCCAAGCCAGCGAAAGAGTCTTCCTAAGACATCTTTGCGCCTGCTGTTCTAGAGTACGGGCTACATTATTAAAAAGGTGGCATTATGGTCCAGAAAACGGACGTCCGGATGTATAAATGGCTCCTCTGAGTCAGACATATTACTTTTAGCTCAGTTATTTGGGACTCGTACTGAGTTTTGGTATTCTACGGTTACCTGCAATGTCTGGTTTCGGAAAAGGGGCCCCAAAAATGTTAGGGGACAAAAACATTCTCTTTCTCCACCCTTGTCGGAAGGCAGGGGAGGGGAACTGTCCCCTCTGCCCCATGCTGCGCCGACCCTTATCCAAGCTCCTTCAACTGCTAAGGACTTGTCAACCCCAGATTTTGCCGCCGATAGCCGTCGCTGACGCCGCGACGCGGCGGCGCCGGCGGCGGAGGGTTATCGCATCAGCGCATTCTTCGGGTGCTCGCCACAGAAGGCCAAGCGCCACCTTAGCCTCGGTGTGACCACCCTCCGTCAGTCGCCCATGTCCTCGTGCGGTGCCGCCTCCTCGAAGCTGAGCGTTATAGTTACTTTGGCTCCAACGCGCGCCGAAGGCTGTTTCTGCGCCCTCTCATCAGAGCGGAACCGATTTATGATGCGAGAATGGTTTTAGTTTTGATGAAGCATGTTAATTTCAGAATAATCTATTCGCCTGTATGCGTTCCGTGACTGTATGCGACTCAAGCTTTGGTATGCCTTATTCAGGTCTGATGACTCGAGCCCGTGGCGCGTTGTCCGTGCATGCGTCGAATAAGCAAAGACTGTTGAAACAAAATAAGTGATGCAATTGACGCGCCCCTTAAACCCCACGTTCTGCCAATAGATGCTCCCTGCGTGCTGAGAACATAATACGAAACACATACATTCCTCCACTACCAGGTGGGAGGGCAGCGCTGCAGACACAGTGGCAACACCAGCCCAAGATCCCCGTCACTTACCACCCAACGCCAACTCATATCATGTATCCAGCTTTGCGCCTCCATAGATCCTATTCCGACTCATATCATATCCAACCCTGCGTCTCCATAGATCCGACGCATATCGTATCCAACTTTGCTTCTCCATGGATCCAACTCCAACCCATATCATGTATCCAACTCTGCGTCTCTATGGATCCAACTCCAACCCATATCATATCCGACTATGCGCCTCCGCTATCAGCACCTTTGCTGTGTGATAATCCTACATCTTGAGCCACATCTACTAACATCAACATACAATTCAGCGTTTCAGTCTACTGACAACACCGCCAGGAGCGTTGTCGGTGCTTGTTCTCTTGCGGATGGGTGTTGCGCTGGTGCAGTGCCTCCCTCGTGCCTCATCCTCGTCGTGCCCCAAGTCGGTGCAGTGATCCGCTGAGCCAGTGGTCGAGGTCGGCGAGGAGAAGGTCTTGAGGGGGCTGGTGGCGCGCAGAGCGGCCGCTCCGACAGCGGTGCTGTCCAGTCCAGAGCGGCGGCCACCGGCTGACGTCCGTCCCTCCGCAGGGCGGTCGAGTGCCAGTTCGAGTCGGCGGCCGAGGCGGCGGCGGTGGTGGCGCGCCTGCGACAGACGGAGGTCGCCGACGGCCGGCTCGTCTCGGCGGAGACGCTCCTCGCGCAGCGGCCGGCGGGCGCGCTCGACCGCCGTGCTCTCCTCAAGAACATGACACGGTTTGTCTGTGGACGCCCGCGGCGGCCGCTGCCATCCCGACCAGCGACGCGTCATTGTGAAGCCGCGTGGTGTTGTGACTGACGCACGCGCAAACATGTGACCCCGCCTGAGGACGTCTCCCGTCCTCCACACGCGCTGCGGTGCGCTTCGGCAGGCGTATAGGCCGACCCCTTTGTCAGTAAGCCTCTGGGCGCCCGAGCCTGGACCTGCCATGCGACCAATCCGCCAGCGCCCAACATACACTTCGTGGACTTAAGGGTACCCGCCGTCTTTCGTGGGCAAAACAGGGGGGCCTCATCGGGGAAGTCCCTGTATCTAGGGGCTTCATCTAGAAATGTGATCTGGTAGACGGCTCTGTTTTCATTGTGGT